ATGGAGTACAAGGGGCAGAATATGCCCCGGCAGAATATGCCCCTGATTTCAAGGGCTACTCTAGCTCATTGCAGCTAATCCCAAAATACAATCAGTTTTTCCTGAAAATCTGAGTTCTTTTAGGAGCAGCATTGGGTGAGGGCTCGGTCCCGACCTCTGGACTGCAGACCTGGGGAAAAATTTTCATAACTAAATGCCTTCCGTTCAATTACTCTCTCATCTCCGCATGCAATAAGAGTTTCAAATTCAGGCACAACAAACCCCACTCCCCTGCTGCGTCACTGAGGACCTCTGATGCGGACATGGCGGGTGACAGACGCCGCTGTCCTTGGCCCCTCCCCGGGTTTCCTCACACCGTGACGTTGTCCGCCCATATTGCGTATCGAAAATAACGTGGCCAATCACTGTCCTTACACTTGCACCACTTGGACAGTGACGCTATCAGAGTCTGGTGTCCCCTCTCTACTGGGGAGTTCGACTGTGGGTGATAGGCGGTGGCTATCGAAACTCTCGCCCCGACTCTCCTGAACACGCTCTGAACCTCGTCGGCTAGGAGTTCCGCCCCTCTGTCCATCACTATCTTGCTGACACAACCATACCTAGATAAGTACTCTAGGACAAAGTTCTTTACTTCCTTTGCCGCCTTACTCCTGATACGTCTACCGTCCACGAACCCAGTGAAATCGTCTCGTATGTTCACGACGTAGTTCATATTGCCTACCCCTTTTGGCATTTTCACTAGATCGATGTGTACCTTCTTTCCTGGTCTGGTCGAATAGGATGGATGAAGTGGCTCTTTGTATTTCACAAGAGCTCTCTTCTGGCACTCTTCGCAGGTCCTACTATACCTCTCGACGTCCTTATACTGTCCTTCCCACCAGTACAACCTACGTACCTTTTCGTAGGTTCCTTTGACTCCCCTGTGTCCTCTGACTACCCCGTCGTGAAGCTACGCAACTATTGTCTGCCTCTCCTCAGGGTCACAGACTACTCATAAGGGCATCCCCGAGCCGCCCGGCCTTCGAAACAGATGGCCAGCTCTAAGGCAATATTGGGCCGTTTGTCTCCGGATATCTGATTCTTGACTCTCCTTTCCTGACAAATGTAGCCTGATCATTCGGTATTTGCCCTCGTAAAGGTTAACCAGAAATCTCTCGGCGCGTCTCGGCTCCGCCATTGTCAGGGCTCCAACTACTATCGGGCGCTCTCCTTCAAGAGGGATCAAGAGAGCCCATCCGCTACGACATTTTTAGTGTCAGATATCCTCTCTACTGTGTAATCATATAGTCGAATCCGTATTAACCATCGTGCAATGGTCGGGTCTGTCAGGCTAGAGTCCTTCTGGAGGACAGAGGCGACCGCGGTGGGATCCACTCTTAAGATGAACCGTCGTCCATAGATATAATGTCTGAACGTGTCTAGACACCGCAGAACAGCTAATACTTCCTTCTTGAATTGACTGTAGTTTTGCTCTGCCGTATTAAGTGTCCTACTCTCAAATCTTAATGGTTTTTCCTTCCCTTCAGCGTCCTTCTGAGACAACAACCTTTCTACCGAACAAGGTCCAGCATCCGTGGCTACTATGAAGGGTCTCCCAGCCTCATCATCAAAGAACGGCACGCCCAGTATGTGTCCTCCCTCCTTAAATTCATCTTTAAGCTCTTGCATAGCGAGTTCCTTCGAGGAATCCCAGTAAAATTTCTCAGTTTTTCGAAGGAGTAGTATCAATGGCTCCGCCTTCTTCGCATACCCTCGTATGAATATACGCCAGTAACCGACCACTCCCAGAAACTGTCGGACCTCGGTTGGACTATGTAATGGTGACGGTCAGTTGAGGAGTTTATCTCACTTCGCCGGATCTTCTCGGCGTCCCCTCGAGTCACAGATAAAGCCCAAGATCTTAATAGTCGAGACGACCCATCGGCTCTTTGTTCCGATGACTGTTAGATTCGCATCGTCCAGCTGCTCGAGTACCGCGCAAATATCCGTTAGGTGCTGCTCGACGAATCTTCTAACTCCAGGTGCAACCTCTGCCTCATCCTTGTTTACTGACCCTTTTATAGGAAAGTCATCCAGAAAAACTTCAACCTTATCAGGGATGAAGTCCTTGAGGACGGCTACCATGGCTCTCTGAAAAACGGCTACCCCATTAGTCCAACCCATAGGGACAACCATCATCTGTATTAGTCTCAATGGCGTATGCATAGCCATGAGGTGCCTGTCTCTAGGGTCAAGTGGCACCTCATCATAGCCTAAGAACAGATCACAGACCGAATAAATCGACCTACCTGCGGCGTCTTCTGCCAGTAAATCGGCGTGTGGCACGGAGCCCACGTCTCGTATCGTCACCGCGTTGACCTTCTGAAGGTCCTGGATCCATCGGATCTTGCCATTCGGCTTTCGTAGGAAGAACCATCGATTAGCATAAGCGCTATCAGACGGCTCCGCAACATGGGAAACCATCTTTTCTTTCAGGAAAGCGATAACTTCTTCCTTCTCTTTCTGGACGTATTTCCATCCCACGTCATTCCAAGGAACATGTGGTATCGTGTAAATCCTTGTTGGCTTAGCGTATCGAGGGTCAACCCTACCGCGCTCCTCGTCACTAAGAGCTATGGCCTTATCACATGTCTTCAGGATTTCTATCACACGTTCTCGCTCCTGTGGGGTCAAATTCTCATCTCCGATGTCCATCCCTGCTATCCTCTCTTCCGTTAGGCGTTGCGGCTCCATTCTCTTTCTTTCTTTGATTTTTTTCGCGATCTCTTCTTCCGCTGGCTTAACTTTTTGAGCTACTCGCTTGTGTCGCTTGGGTAGCCCCCCATAGGGGGCCGTGCCCTTAAAAAAGACACGGATTTCACACCGCCAAATTCCTCATTTTTTTCCTTTGGGTACGAGTTGCCATCCACTATTAGCCGACTCCCTAAATCTTCCACCTCCACGATCCGACCTTCTTCCTCTGTGAGCAGTGATCCATATTTCTTTTCGCGAAATCGCACCGCGCGGCCGGAGATAGGTAACGACTTAATCTGATTACTGGGTCTCGCACCCACAGCGAGAGCTACTCTGTTTCTCGGGTCCCGATGCTCCACTGTCTCAATCATTACCCGGGTCCCGTCTGGCTTACTAATGGACAATGTTTGACTCCCATCAGGTCGCTCTATCGTCACCGCATGCACGTGGCTCAGCCACGTCTGCAAAGACAGACAGGGTCACTCGTACTCCTTGGACCTCTATGGCTGCCTTGTGACAAACCCCAGTGATCTGTTGCTTTCTCCCATCAGCCGTCTTTATCTCGAATAGGTATGACCTATCGAGGTCCAGTCCAACCTGTACTGCCAGGTCCTCGTCTATGATGACACCCTCACTGCCGTTATCAATCACAGCATCGAGTACCGCTCCATCATTTATAATCGTCTCCACAGCCCCGCTACCAAGTATATAAAACTTGTCTGGAGGCACACCTTCCATTCCATCGAGAAGGACTGTCGCCATGCGATC